CTTTTACGAATTATGAATTTTTCTTATAAACTTTAATAAAAAAATATAATTGCAAAGTAGTATTTATAAAATACTGCATGAAGCAGAAAATCAGGAACGTCAATCAAATTATAGCTGAAGTTATTTAATTAAGACTGTTACTATAGTTTTTTTCTTTTTGCAAAGTTAGGTTTTTTTTTTAATACGATGATTAATAACTCTGCGACTTCTGGAATTACTTAGATCCGATCAAATCAAAAATAAAAAGATCAACGTATAGTTTCATGCAAAAGAGTCACGTAAAGAATTGATTTAAATCGTACTTCGAAGACGAAATACTGTAGTGATCATATGTTACGATCAAGTCACAGGGAATATTTTCATGCATTTCCCAGCCAAGACTATTACGGTGATGTGGACTTGAAGGCCCTACGCAAACTGGGCTACAGGAAATAGAAGCATTTACATAGCGTATACAAGCGTTGCACTCACCGGCGATGAAAGCTGCAGGGCATCCGCCAAGGGAAGTCGGTTGCAGAACGTCAATCTTTGGCAGAAGGGAAAGAGCAATCGCAAGACAACAATCCTCCTGCAAGTCATGTTACATATATAAAATTAATTATTGTCTCCCATATCGCCATGTAAATAAGTTAAATCAATTGTAAGGCATGAGAAAGTGCAGAAATACATGTTGAAAAAGATACATCGCTGTGTTTACAATTTTCTTTTTGTTACCCTTGGATTCGGTATTTTCCAAAAAAATTTTGGAAAACATATCTATATGATACATAATTAATGTAATAATATCATAATAGTTGTTTTCTATTTACAAATTGCACATATTCGTTGAATTAGAATTAAATACAAGTTATAAATAATTTATTATAAAAACCGAAGTTATAAGTTATAAAAATCATAGATCGTAAATATATATTATATATGTATATTATTCGTTGTGGAAATATCCGTGATTATGCGTAATAGTAATACTGTACTAGAATAATAAGATATATACACATATATGTAAGTAATCAAATTTAAAAAAAATGCACGTCTTTATTGTGCATATAAAGTTACGTTCGACAATACCATCCGTGTGCTTCCGAGTATCATTTTATTTTTGTTGTTCAAAGAATATTAAACAAAGACAAAATCACAAAATGATACTCAGAGATACTCGGATAGTATTTTCGATAACAGTCTAGAAGGCGCCCTCCGAAATTGACCGACCTACCTATAACCACAGTCTATAACGCTCCAGCACGTCACAGAATTCCCACAGAGAGCAAAATGTACACGTAAAGTGGAATGGCGCAAGAAAAAATGTGGATTATTTGAAAGTGAATTGAAGAGAATTGATGCTAAAAGAGGAAAATGGTAACATCGAAGAAAATGATTCAATGTCCTTTATTTGCTCAGTTTTATTTATTTTGTGAACATCGCCGACGACGGATTTGACTGCATACACAATCAATAATTGCACATTAACTTATGAGATGTAGCGAGTACGTACAAATACTTTATTTAATATTTACACGTTGAAAAAAAAACGTTCGTGCATAATCAAATCGAATAGCAACGTCAGTTCTTCTGACATGCTCAGCATTTTTTTTGTTTCTATGCCAGTTGTGACATGCCTGACAATGCCACGTGCGCACTGTGTTACGCTAACCTCAAAGTCGGAGACGTGCTCCTGACTTTCGTTTAATTCTTATTTTCTGATACTTTTATGCGAAAATATTTTAATCGAATGGCAAATAACACTAACTAATAAATACTTCCAGATCCACTGTATTTGCTTGTTTTATAAGAAGAGGAATCACCGATGTGTGTGTTTTGCAGTTTTACTACATAGAACAGTGATCAAGATTCTGCCTCCTTAAAAAATTTTCACAGGCTATTCTAATTTTAATAATAGAACAGCGTTTGAGGGCTCAACGATTTTTGAAACGTATCATAACAGTAAAACTCAGCTTTGAATTAACATTGCCACATATAAAAATGAGACACAATGTTCTTAAGAGCTATACTCGTTTACTATGTACCATAGGACAACGATCCGTACCTCAGGTATGCATCGTTGGTGCAGGTCCAGCAGCCTTCTATGCAGCTCAGCAGTTACTAAGGGTAATAACATATATATATAATATACATTTATAAAATAGATTATGTATAATTAATGACGTCTTATTAATTACTCTAAAGATGTGCATATTTTATAATACTATGTACAAGTATTTTGTATGTATGATATAGAGTTATCTATTAAATAATTCTTATAAATATCTCATATAGAATAAAGAAATGATAAAATTTATATGAAATTAATAGGATTCAAGCAACGCGATAATCACCATTCTAGACAAACAACCAGTTCCCTTTGGTTTAATACGCTATGGGGTTGCTCCGGATCATCAGGATGTGAAGAACGTCCTGAATACATTTCACAAAATCGCGACCAATCCACGTGTTGAATTTCTAGGCAATGTTAGACTTGGCGTCAATATTGATGTCAACTATCTACGAAATTTGTATGATGCTGTGTTATTGGTATGTGTAGTATTTAAAATTAATTATATTGTCACTTAACACACGTAATTAACACTTTTATTTCTTGAATTCATTATCTTATCTGTGAGATATAAATATCTTTGTTTATTTTAAATATTATAATGTTTTAATATAAATTATAATGAGAGAAAAATAATTTTTTATAATTAGAAAGAGTAATTAAATTTATTTAAATACTTTTTTGAAAATATAAATTTTTTACAATTATATTTTACATTTACATATTCATTTTTTTACTTATTATTATTTATTAATTCAGTATTACTTTTAATTAAATATTGCGAAACTATTAATTTTTTAATAAATATCAAGTTATCACTATATCAATTCAAATCTAATTGTTTAATTAGTATTAGCGTATGATGAATCTTTGTAATAAATAATTTTTATTTTCATTCTAGGCTTATGGCGCTCAAGAAGATCGATTTCTCAATGTACCTGGTGAACGTTTAAACAATATAATATCAGCTCGACATTTTGTTGGTTGGTACAATGGACTGCCAGATGATAAAGATATGAAGATTAATTTAGACATAGAAGAAGCAATTATCATAGGTCAAGGCAACGTAGCCATAGATGTCGCAAGGATTCTTTTGACGCCAGTCGACAAGCTCAAGGTGATATATCTAAATCTCTATTATTTTATTTTAACTTAGGAATTTTCTATTAAAGAGAAATATAGACAATTTACAAAATAACATAAAGAGTTTTAAAGATTAAATTATATAATTTAAAAAATATTTTTTAATTTTGTCAGTTGACATCTCTCTTGGTTATTTTAGAATACTGATATCACATCGTACGCCTTGGAAGCTTTAAGTCGTAGTAGAGTGCGAAAAGTCACCATGATCGGACGAAGAGGACCTTTACAGGCTGCATTTACAACCGCGGAACTGCGTGAAATTCTGAAGCTGCAAGACTGTAAAACTTTTTGGCGAGAGCAAGACTTCGAAAACGTGCAGACAATTGTACCAACTTTAGATAGACCTCGGAAACGATTAACAGAACTCATGCTGAAGTCTTTAGAAGAATCCAAGAATGACTCAGTGCATGCAAAAGAATTACATCAGATCTTCTTACGTAGCCCCATTGAGTTTCATGGCAATAAGGAATTAAAGAGCATCAAATTTGCCATTAATCACTTACAAGGAGAGACGATACAAAATCAGATAGCCGAGACGACCGGTGAATTCGAAGAGATCTCGTGTGGTCTGGCTCTGCGCAGTATTGGTTACAAAACCGAGCAGATATATAAGAATATTCCATATAATGCAAAGATGGGATGCTTGGAAAACATTAACGGTAAGATTGAAGGGAGAAACGAAGAGCAAGCACCTCTCTATGTCGCAGGATGGGCAGGAACTGGTCCAACTGGAGTCATTCTAACGACCATGAGAAACGCTTTTCAAGTCGCTAGATTGATATATAATGAATTTCCCACCAATCCGAAAGGAGGCGACGCCAGACGCGAATTATATCATGAGTTATGCAATAAGAATTCTGTCCAGACTGTGACTTATGAAGACTGGCTGAAGATTGATCGCATTGAACAACAGCGCGGCAAAGAGCTGGGAAAAGTACGGGAGAAGATAGTTAGCGTGCGTGAAATGCTGAGAATAGCTGAAAATCATATATAGGTGAAGGACCAATTTGTTAGAGTGCAATTTTTTTCCAAAGATTTAAAGAATTAATTTAAAATTATATTTTGTACTTAAAGAGAGAGAGAGAGAGAGAGAGATTAAGAAGAGGGTAGGAAGAGAAAGAGAGGATAAAGGAAAGATTAATTTTCCTCGAGTTTTATTTCAACAAGCTCGATGAAATTGGGAAAGCTTTTATTGCGCACATTTTACACACATCGCTAATTAGCTAATTTAATATAAAAATTCTCGTTAGTGAAGCAGTAAAAAATTACTAAGTATCAAAACCGATATAAGTGATGTGTGTAATCAGGAATATAGGCTGACAAGACTTCTATATTCTGATCAGATTGTATAATCAGATTTTATCTGCAAAATATATTTTTTATATACTTTTATAATAATATAGACACATTTAGATTATATCTGATTATGATTGATCAGAGAGGCTCCAATACATAAATAATTTCCATTTATAATTATAAATAATTAATAAATAAATCGTATTATAGAGATATCATTTTTTTATACAAGTTTATACAGGTTGTAATATCATATGACTAAATAGTTGAATAATGTTTTGGTATTTAAACGTAATGATAAAGAATAAAGATCTGTTTTTTTTATAATTGAATTAATGTATACTTTTTGTATTTAAGGTGAAATATATATGTATATGTTTGAAATTTAACGAAAAGGAAAGTTCTACATAGTGCACTGTAGTGCAGCAATAAAAAACAAACCTTAGATGTCGGCACGTGTTTACTCCTAACTTAACCTCTAAACCCTATTCCCAATCTAAAGATATCAGCTGTTATTCGAAAAGGTAAATCTTTTCTTTCAATACCAGTATTAAATAATATAAACATGAAAATATATTTTCTTTGTTTACATCATATTTAAGATGTGTTTCAAATTCTGCATAAAATAATTTTTGTATAAAGAAATCAAGTTTTAATTTCATATAGGTTATTGTTACATCTTTTATATGAAATTAATTATAAATTTGTGTAAAGTTAATTATTATATCCTTATGAAGAGAGAAAATTATATTTCTTACTTAAAAGAGTTATTAATTATTTAGCATTGAAGTTTATTAATTTTTTTATAAAGCTCTGAATTATAGTTTTAATTGTTTAATTTTTGAAATATATTTATTTTATATTCACAATTATATTAAAATTAGTTGTGAGTTGTTAGGCATTTCATTTGTTTATTAATTTCTGTTAATAATTAATAACACACTGTATACAAATTTATAATTCTTTCCAGCAGATATCTTACAAAATATGTAAACAATGTAACCAATGTTTTCCAAAACTTTATGTTATCATCAGATCATCTCCTTGTAGTTAAAACATGGATCTGCGAGAACCAAAGAGGAAAAGAACGAAGTTAAAGCCACGATTGCCATTTCCCATCCTATTGAATGAAACACAAGAATGGCCAATGTACACTGCGCATCTCACAGATGTAGGATCTTGTATAATTGAACCTGAAGAGATGACTGCAGTACATTCTATGGTAAATTTTATCAGAGTAATTTTTCCTATGAACAAAAAAAATATGTGTCTGTATTTATAGGGATTTTTTGGTAAAGGATCGTTATCACGTAGTTATCCTTCGTTTGGCAAAGCAAGGTATGGAGCACCACCAGTTGTTCGGAACAGACAATGGCTTTGCAGACAAAAATGGCTCAAGGAAGTCCAAGAATTGAACTCCACCGAATACAAAGGTGTATAATAAAAAATATTTTGTGATGTATACAATATACCTTGTTTCAAAGTAATATATGAATGAAAATAATATTTTGAAAAATACTATTCATAAAGAAAAATAATATAATATAAAAAATGAGATAATATTAAAATATAGTGAAAATTTATTTTATAATTGCAGATGATAAAGCAATCTCTCAATATGAGGAAAGAAATATCCCGGATGAAGAGAACATTAATGACATTATTGAAATTCCATCAAATTCTATTGAAAACGGGAGCAAGCAGAGAAACGAGATGAACACAAAGAACATCGAAATCGATGAAGTCACTCTAGATTCTGCAGAAGAGGACGACATATGTGTTATTGTTAATAGAGACTCAGTTCAATGTGATAACGCTGAAAGTTCATCAAGTACTCACGATGATAAGAACAGCTCGGAAGACAGACTAGAAGTGGAAGATCAGTGGAAATTGTACTACGATTTTAAAAGCGATTGTATGAACGAGGATGACAGTCAACATGGAAAATTATTAGTATTGCCAGATATTGACTCAGACACTGAGAATTATTTGAAAAATATTAAACCAAAAATCGAGAACGAGGGTTTTCCCATTCGAGAGGCTCTGCATCTCACTTTTGAAGAGACCTTTTTTCTCCTTTTTGGGTTAGGTTGCTTGCAACTGATTCACTTCGACGGTAGTCTACTGGACATCAACAGCGCATGGTTATACTTTTGCAAGGAGAAGCCAGATTTTATACAGAAATATGTAGTTTACCATTATTACAGGAGCAAAGGTTGGGTTGTCAAACCCGGCTTAAAATATGGTGGTGATTTCTGTTAGTATTTGTTACATGTTGTTTGAATATATATTATAAAAAATCTTTTTGTATTATTTATAATTTTTTTATATTGACAATATTTTGTTATTTTTAGTATCCTTTTCTCTTAAATTTTTTCCTTTTTTCCTTTTTCTCTTTTAATAATATTGAAAATATTTTTCTTTGTTTTATAGTGTATTATTATATTATTTTATTCAAAATACTTTTGTTTCAGTGCTTTATAAAGAGGGACCACCGTTTTATCATGCTTCTTACATCGTTATAATAGAAGTAGCAGATGCAGATTCTTTAGTTATAGATCCTACTATGTCTTCACGATCCATAACGTGGAATAATTTGTTTGGATTTGAAAGACTGTCCGAAACCGCTGCTAAGGTAAACGTGCATTTATCTATTACATATATGTAATATATTTAAAGATATATTTCTTATTTTCTATGAAATTTTTAATTTATTTTATGTTTGTGCGAATAATAGGAAATACTTTTCGCGCAAGTTTTATGGCCGTCGTCGGTATCTCGAGATATCAGCACGACTAGTCCCGAAATACTTTCCGAATTCACAGTGAGAGAATTACTCTGGCGTAGATGGAATCCGAAACAACATCGAGAAGACATTCCCATTGAAGAAGAGGACGAAGATTCATACTGAAAGATTTTTTAATTGTTTACATTATTATGTTTATCTTCAAAATCTTTTTTTTAACGACTTCGTAAGTTACTAAAATATCAATTTTTTATTACATTAAGACTGCAGACACATTTATATATGTATATATAATTTCTTTTAATAAGCTATGTAAATATGTCACATTAAAACACAGTGTGGATTTTCATACAATGTTTTTTTTATAAAAAAAAGTAAATGATTTTTTTATCAAAATAATTCCATATAGATTTTCTAATTACACGACATAATCATATATTTATGTATGTAAAAAGTTATTTTTATATATTTATATTCTAATTAATCGTTGACTGCTACAATATACAATAATAATGTAGCATTTTAATACAAGAATTGCGCAGGATATAATATCTAAAATTAATTATGTAGATTATTTTATTATAATTAAGTTAATCTGCATAATTAAGTACATATATAATAGAAATATTAATATCTAAGGTATTTATCACACATGGGAAACTGAGAGTTATCAATATTACTAAATCTACTAATATCAAAAGTGAGAAATTCAAGAAACGTAAATATATTATGAGATATTTATATAAATATTACGTACAATACATAATATCGAGCATAGCGTAATAAAATATGCATTAAATCTCTGAACTCTATGCGAAGCACTCTGAGCACTCAGCGCAATGTTAAGCCAAATCGAATCCGTGTCTTTATCAGCGATCGGCGATTCGCACGGAGGTATCGTTTGCGGTACTCGCCAAGTGAAAGCAAACTGCGATCGCGAGAGCCCCCGCGACACAGTCTCAGGGCTCCATGCAGTCAGTCTGAGGTGAGCTGGGAGCTGGCATGCCGAGTGCCGTGCACCGTGAGTTGTCAACGAGTTGAGCATCTCCAAATCAAGCCCAGGATAATTGCGTTCTGCGCGATCCGGTATGTAGAGAACGTTCAGACACTCCACTTTGTTATTCCTGTCAAACCCCGCGTCGCGTGATGAGATAACTGTTAAAAGTCTCTGTGCTTGTGTCATTCAAAATTTCTATATGTTGTATGATATTGCTAAATAATATAATATATTTTAATTTTATAACAAGAATATGTTTAATAATGTTTTATTCTTTATATATATATATATATATATATGTA